ACAATATTTTAAAAGAATATTTTGTCTCAGTGTGAATTAAATAAAATAATAGATTTTCCTGTTATATCATACACTGCATATTGAAGTTGACATATCTCGAAAACATGTAAATATAGGGAAGAACTTTATATTACAAAAATTACTCCCAAGTTTAACGGTCTTTCAGATGGACTGTATTTCCATGTTCCAGGGAACAACAAATTTTTTAGTGTCGCCACGCCATCTATACAGAAAGATTTGAACTAACAATTCTAACTACAATTTGAAGCTATTCGAGGGACTTAACAACCCCAATTTCCGGAACTAAAATAAATTTCTTCATTTCGGAGATATTGGCAGCGGAAGTGTTAAATGGCACACCCTGTATATGCCTCATAACGTGTACATTCTTTCTGTATTGATTTGTATATTTTGCCACTCGCCAAAATAATAAAACAATTAAACAAATCCTTTCGTCAAAGGGATCAATCAACAGTAAAGCTATGCCGCAAAAATTAAAAAAAAAAACTCTTCCTCTGATTAACTGCTGTTTTATTCCAAAAAGTGTAAAGAATACTTCCATACACGTAAAACATATCTAAGTAATTTTCAGTTATGCTAAATTATGTACAACGAAAGCTCTCATGTGTAAAAGGAATAATACAGTGTGTCCCATAAGTAACGCAAAAAAATCGTATTTTATCTTGTGTTGCGTTTTCACAAAAACGCTAAAACACGTCAATTAGTAAATAGGAATTGTCATTTTGTCACGTTGCTTAAACCGTTTTTGCGCTATGTTTCATAAACCTATGACGTCATCGACATTTTTTTTAAATAGCACTACCTAATTTTTTAAGCATAAATGGCTAGTCCTTTTGAAGGGAAATACGTCGATATAGGGTTTGTCCTACTTTACTTTGACAGGAGCGAAAAAAAAGCCAATGACTGGAATGGACATGGGTAACAACAAAAGTAGGTATCACAAACTGATGCGAGAACAGTGCCACAGCAAAAAAACGGAAATTTGTGGATGTTTTGTGTTTTGGTTGATTGTAGGTACGTTTTTATGTATTGGTATGTTGGCGTTTTTGGCGATACGACGAACGACAGTGTGTGGATTTTCAGTGACAGCTAAACATAACATTTTGTCTGTCATTTTCTATCACTGTCGTTGGTCTTCCAGATCTAGACAGATCTCTAACATGGCCAGCGTCTTCAAATTTGCGTACTAATCTGCATATTGCAGACGCAGGTATTGGTTGTTCTGGATACTTGGCATTGGATAATTGACATACTTCATCATAACTGCGGATCCTATCTCCGTATCCAACCATAATTAGGATTTCAGTTCTTTGTTTCTCATTTAAACACAACACCATCGTAATGTAAAGTTATGGTATTTGTAACTGTCACAAAGATATGAGGCACTATTGCATTCGCTGTCTTCTTCAGAACAATGCGTACATTGTGATCGGGTCTACCTTCCCAATCTACATAAAAACATGTACCTACAATCAACCAAAACACATTTTTTGCTATAGCACTGTTCGCGCATAAGTTTGTGATACCTACTTTTGTTATTAATTCAACCAAACCATGTTCATTCCAATCGTTGGCTTTTTTTCGCACCTATCAAAGTAAAGTAGGACAAACCCTATATCGACGCATTGCCCTTCAAAAGGGCTATCCATTTATGCTTAAAAAATTAGGTAGTGCTATTTAAAAAAAAAATTGTCGATGATGTCATAGGTTTATGAAGCGTAGCGTAAAAAAGGTTTAACCAACGTGACAAAACGACAATTCCTATTTACTAATTGACGTGTTTTAGCGTTTTTGTGAAAACTCAACACAAAATAAAGTACGAATATTTTGCGTTACTTCTGGGACGCACTGTATAATAAACATTACAATTTGTGTTACGTATGTCTGTTTCCTACACATCTAAAAGAAGTTCTTTGCGGTACACACTACATCTTGTGTATTCCACATATTATCCTAATAAGAACTTCCCTCTTTGAATTATGACGGCTTCTGATCCAACTAGGTTATTTATTTTGCGAATTATGCATATCAGGGAGAAAGATTTTATATATGTTTCGTAGACAGTCCTTTGGATTTCCAGATAGAGAAAGATGAAGCCGCCTCGGGTTAACGTCTCCCAAGTTAGACGTTTAAGTTGATCCGGACAATTTTTCAGTTTTATGAAGTTGGGATGTTCCGGAACGAGCGGGGGCAGCAACTTCGGAGATAAATGATGGATCGCTTACAAATTACACATATTTCTCTTCATTAAATTCTTATGTTATCTATACCTTTTGTTTTTTCCGCAACTGATCTGTTATATTTTATGGGTTATCTCCGACGTCAGATATTTAATTTCCAAATCATATAAATGTCATGTCTGCTAAAAATATGTTTGAAAAAGTTGTTTACAGGACGAAGTTGTTTACTTAACAGGATCCAATATTATGTTGTATTTTGCGAAGTAGTTTACTGAACTCTAATAAAATGCAGGAGTAATTTTGTTCGTCCGGCATTTAAAACTTTTCTTGGAAGCCCAAGGAAATATTAAGAGCGCGTACTAATTATAAACGTGAAACACTTTTAAAACGGGTATTTTAAATGCTTGTTCCAGATTGAATTGTCTATTTTAATTTTATTTTTTTTATTGTTCCAACTAATTCAGCGCAATAGTTTACTAAAAAATACAACCATCCTCCAACATCTCCAAACCTGTACTATTTTTAAGATACAAAGTTATAACAGTCAAAATTGTTTTAATTTTTTCCATTATTTTATAATAAAAGTCATATTAAGCAGATCGAAGATAAGTTACATAGGTACATATAAAAATAATTCAAATGTAATATTTTTTAATTGAGTATTTTTTATATGCAAACAAAAATCGCCACAAGTCAGTGTGAACTGATTTAATCGCAACATCTCAATAATTTTTCTCAACAATATTGAACAGAATAAACTTCTATCCATATATAACACATTCTACATCAGCCATGTCAAACATGCGGCCCACTGAGCATTTTCCTGCGGCCCGAATCAATTTTGAAAACAGCCAGATATTGCGGCCCGCGAGCGTGTTAAAAACCGTTTTTGAAAACGCGCGCGGTGCAACAAGTCGCGCGTACATACACACACGTATCACGACCCGACCGATGGGAAGCCTTCTGAAAGAATTTGAAAAGCGTTTTTAGGATTTTAAGTCCCAAGAAAACAATTTCTCTTTATTTACTGATCTTTTCACTATCGATATTGATAAAGTTCGCCCCTTACTTGCAGATGGAAGTGATTGAGATTCAGTATCAGACCCATTTAAAACAAAAATTTGATAGTGATGTTACATTCGAATTTTATAAGTACTTGCCTGTTCAATACCAAGAAATGAGAAAATTTTCCTGTAAAATCCTGTCAATGTTTGGAGGTACCTATCTAAAAGTGTGAACAATTATTTTCTTTGATGAAAGGAAACAAATCTCCCACAAGATCGCGATTGAAAAACGCACACTTGGACGCAGTTTTAAAAGTTATTTCCGCCGATAAATTCACGCCACAAATAGACAAAATAATTGAAGACAAAAGATGTCAAATATCTGGCAAAAGACGTTAATGTAATTTTTTGTAATGTCCTTTTTTAATTTAATAAATATACTTGTCCTATAATAGTACTTTTTTTCGTTAAGATAACATACATATACATATAGCAATCAATTCTAAATTGACTAATGACACCATCCAATAAAGATTTTCTTTCTATTTGAAATACTTCAAGATAAATTCCTAAACTTTTATATCATTTCATTCCACAACTAATTTTATAACGATTTTTATTTTCATTTGGACACTTCTGGGATTCTCCATTAAATGGGAATTGCGGTCTATCCAAGGTACCTATGTCAAATGGTGTATGCTTGGAGCGTTAACTAGAAAAATTATGGATTTCCTTAAAAACACTTGTCAGTTTTAACAAAATAGTTGTTTTAAAAGATATTTCTAAATTTTGACTAGTTATAGGCTGAATTATTGCTGGTAATGCTACATGTTTATATTTTATCTAGTGAGAACCTATAACATTTACATTAGGAGGTTATTGTTTGGATCAGAAAACGCTATTTAAAGACAACATAGACAGTCATACCTTCAGTGATAGGTAATAGGTATCTATGTATTATATGGGAAAAGTGTATTATTAGATGTTGATAAATATCGATATTGGTAATCGTCTCTGCTTTAGTAAACCTTTAGAAAACAAAATAATATTAGGTATGGAGAAATTTCAGAAAAAATAAGAATGATACATTCATTTCGTTCATACTGGACCATTTTATGGGCAAAATTGTTACAAAACTAGGCGAAAACAAACGTGTTTGTCTGATTTGCTTATTTTTATACCAATTTTTCTCGGAATATGAAAATGAGTCGGTATTTTGCAAGTGATAATGGAGTTAACTGAATTATCAAATGTTTTAAATAAAAGTATTTTCAAATAATAAGTTTGTCTCTTAACAGTCATTAGTTAGACCCCAATAATTAAGTAGTTGTAAATTGCTTGGAAAAATAAGTATCATTCAGTATATTTTTATTTGGAATATCCTAAAATAGGTATACTTATACATGAATACAGTGCGTTTACATACCAATTAAGTAAAACAACACTTTCTATCAAAAGTTTGTTATAGTATTTTTATTAATATTAACCAGATTTTACCAGAGTTAATAAAAATATTTAAACCATCAGATTTTTTTTAGAAATACTGTAATAATTCACTGCTGTTTAATACTATTAAATAAACTTGCTACTGTAGTACGCAAATGATACTGTCAAATTTTACATCAAATAACATTTATTCTGTCTAACCAAACTGAAATTATGATGTTATTTCGTTTTTTGACCTTGTCAATTTTTGGTACATTGTTTTATATCAATAGTACTTCTTTAAGTTTATTGTGGAAATAGTAGCTTGTACATAGTTGCTGAATTTAAAACAAATACTCATTATTTCCAGTGTTTGCCAAGGGCCAATGCGAAACCAACCGCTACCGCTTCCTGGCCAAAACCGGTGGGTACGTTTGGGTGGTTACACAGGCAACATTGATTTACGATAAGATGCAGAAGCCCCAGAGTGTCGTTTGCGTCAATTACGTCATCAGGTAAGGACTTGATTCATTTTGTGCATAACAAAATTCATTTAAAGTCTCTGGACCATAAACTGTTAATGACAACTGGAAAAAAAAATGATATTAATATTCGTTTAATCATCGTGGTGAATTGGAAGTTCACAGTACCCAATAGAAATACATTTCATAATTGAATCCATCGACATTCTGAAGCAACGTATTTTTGAGAAGGAAAACACATTTATACAGGATGTAACTAAGATCATTTACCAACTTTAATGACGAATTCTATATCTGTGTTACAAATTAATAAAACAATTCCTATAAACATGTTTTTTTTTAACATTACGAGTAAAAGGGTTGAAGCGAGTTAATTCAATTCTACTAAGAGGGGTGCATATTCGGGAGTAAACTTGGTGATTTTTGTCACGGATCAAACCATAGACAGTTTTACTAACGATAAAATTTCAATAGACTCAAGTTTTGTCAGCACTGGTCAACAATTATTTGAATAGTCAATAATATTGGGCCTGTACCTTAACAAGGTTGTTAAAGCTTGTTCAAACATTTTACTTACCACTGTATAAATCTCAGTACTACTAATTTTTTTTTTAATCAAATGATTAAGGGTTATCGTCTGCAATAATTGTTTGGTAATAATAAAAAAATAGGGTAATCAGGGTATTCGGTGTTTTTGTTGCCGGTGAAATATTTTTTCAGTACCTGTAATTAGCGAAAATTTTTCCACACCATCTGTTTGTTGGTCCTGATAATAATGAAAATGTGTATCGTTGTGTGAATTTGTTTTATCAGATAACGCTTTGATATTTTCAATATAAAAGGCAACAGTTGGATATTAGCAAATTAATTTCAGCATTATAGATGGATTTGCTTTCACCTTTTATTAGTTAGATAAGGGCTTAATTGTTGGGAAGTGACGGAATTAAAAAGCCTATTATTTTATAATTATCCAACTCGCGCTATTCTCATCTAGATACGTTATGCTAATTTATGGCCTCCTTTATATCCAGAGACTTTGAATTTAATTTTGTTGCTTAATTCAGAACCCTCTGCGTGCGCCAGTAATGAAATGTTGTACTGAAAACTCCAATAAAACCGGCGATTACTCCGAGTTATTACTTTTGTTGTACTGCGTCATCGTTTTTAATGAAGCCATTAAAAATAGGACATAAAAATTAAAGTAAACCTATCACGTAGCAGTTTCTGTACTGCAACATGCAACACAACTCATTAATGTGTTTGATTGCCCATAAAATTACTTTGTAAACAAATTGATGTAAAATGTCATCCAAATAAGTACAAACTCAGAAACTTGAGTTACCTATTCTTTTATCTCTTTAATTTAATGAATTTATAATTTAAAATAATGTATTTACATGTTCTTTATGTTGATTATAAAGCACAAAACTTGGTTAAAAGAATTGGCAAAATAATAGAGGATTAATTATATGGACACTGGGCATACTATTCGGAAAACAATCAGATTCTGATGGATTTTTTGTTTTATTTATAAAATATAAAAATTGCTTAACTAATTTATTTGTCGTCAAATCGATATATAGATAATCGAAACCTTTGGACGTAATTTTTCTAGACCCGTCCTGTGATGTAGGTATTTGAGTTTTTTCTCTAATATTTTAAAATAACAGCATTTCTTATGGGATGGGAGTCATATTGGATTTTCCCATTTTCTAATTTTGCACGTTTTTGTGATTAATTTGATATATCTCATTGTCATTATAATTATATCTTATGATAAAAATCGATTTAAAGACAGAAAAATATCCTGCTCTTTATTAAGTATTCAATAAAATAAGGAGTAGGCTTTGTAAATTTTATTTTAGTGTTACAAGTTGCATGTTCAAGGCCTGTATTATTTAAAAAATTAATGTCTGAGATTAAAATCTAATTTTTACAGATTGGTTCTTATTTATAACTCAAAAAATTATATATTTATGTGTTCAAAGAAATTTGCAGTTAAAACGTAGTAAGTTGTGCATCAAATTGATTAGAATAGTGAGATGAATTTAAAAATCATAAAATTCAGCACGAACGTCGTAAGAAAAATTTAAGTAAATTTATTTCATTACCATTTTTGCATTCGGGGACATATCTATGAAAAAACAAAAATAACTAAACAAATATTTAATTTTGAAATATTTGAATCGACAAATAAAACAATTGATAATTAATTATTAAAGTATTGTTTGCCACATTTTCTTCTGCATTCAGTTTTGTATGTATGATTGTTACTATCAACTTTTTAATATAAACGTTTTAAGTTGTGTGACAAAGTAAATCACCTAGCAATAGAAACTAGATGCTCTTATCAAATTATTTTATTTGAAAATTAAATTTGAACTGATTTGTATGTTGTGGATCATGCTTTTCATTATTATGTTCAAAATGCTTGTTATAAGGGAACATACAATTTTTTATATTTATTAACTTTTTTGAGATTTGTTATTTTGCATAAATCTATCAGTTGAAGGTAAGTAAGTACCTAGAATATCGTAAACAAAACACATTACACAAACTCTGATAAACTGGTTGCCTATACAATAACATATCTGAAAGGATATTGGGATATTTATTATTTTTGTCAGCAACATATTTAACCAGTAGGTTTTTTCATTTGTATTAATGATCTGATAATTTTAAATATGTTGTTCTAGATTACACAAAAAATAGGCGATCAGAGTATGTATAGAATAGTTATTCGCAGAGGGTCTGAATTTTCCTGCTTGCAGCATTTATTTATGTATATGATTCAGTCAGTAATCATCGTCTTGAAAATAACGTGATAATTACATCGAACTGTTTTCGCAATCTAATTGTTTTTACGGTTTTTTTTTCGGTCTCACGAATGTAAGTTGTGAAACATTGTAAGATTTTACAAATGTTTATCGTCTCCATTAGTCAATAAGATGGAAAAGTTTAGCTTATTAAAATCGCTGTCCTCTTAATGAATATGTGTGATATATTGATAATGTACGTGGTTTATATAAGCGCCAAAATAATATGTAACATCTTTCGTAGATAAGGAATTCATATACCTTTTATATTTGTGGTGTTTTTAAGTGTATTTCATACATTCAGGAGGTTTATTTCCTTAGTCATTTTCCACCAAAGGACCTTAGTATACCAAGGGTATAAAACCACTGATTTTCGAAACAGTGCTGCTGTTTTAATAAAATATAACAATTTTTCAAATGTCTCAGAATGTAGAGCTTAAACTAAATAGTTTAACTAATTAAAGGTAATAATTATTAGTAATTCATTGAATTATTGATATAGAACTCGCTCAACTAGTGGCGGAGATATTAGAACAGAGTCTCACTAATGCTAAGACTGCAGGAATGTTTTGAAAATTGGAAGTGAATTTAATTTGGTATTTTCGAATTATTTTTTTAAGTTTAAAATAAGTATCATAGAACTGAACAAATTAAAAATATCTTGAAATCTATTCTTTTCGCAAATAGATATGAACAATATTTATTTGAAATACTACTTGAAATATAGCGTAAGCATTATAAGTTAAAAAATAGCATTAACGTCAACATTTTAATTTTTTTGGTTGCTGCGTTTTCTCGCTTATACTTCAGATAATTAAAAAATTATACAACAATGCGTGTAGGCTGAATTTAATATTGTATTTAGCACAAAAAATGTATATACATTATTTTGTATTAGATTTATTTAACTGTGCGGTAAGCTTGTTTTTCAAATAAACAGGAAGACACATTTTCTCGTAGAAATAATAATAGTTAAATTAAATCCCCTTATTTCATTTCAAAAATACTCTGCGGCGTCCAAAATTTTGACTATCTTTATGATAGCACCTTCCAGTTTCTCCGACACTGGTTGATGGTTCTGTATCAATTTCAGTGAATTTTCCTTTTACCTAGTTAAATTATTAACCCAACATTCATCAATTTGCGTCAAGCATGTTCAGAGATATTTAAATAAATGTGATATTTTTTTTAAATTTTAACATCCTAATCGAAAACTAGTAGTTTTATATACTGGCTGTAGCTTTTTGAACTAAAATGAACCAGGAAATAACTTCCTGAAGTTATAACATAGAGGTACTTAAAAAGCACCCGGTATATGCATTACAATATACCCAAGTATTTCAGTAACGTCAATCATCTGAATAATCTACAATCGTCATAATATATTTTATTTATTTGTTGCTGCGGTACACCTAATAAAGAACATATACCTCGTATGTATGTATGTATGTATGAGTATATCCTAAAACTTCGTTAAAATAACAAATCTTCCATTAATTGTAAGAGATTTCATTTTAAATGTATAACGAAACGAGAAATTTTTATTTTTCATATTGATATTTTTATTCCAACAATTTACTGACCATCCAGTTAAAGATGGAAGGCGATATCTTCCAAATGGCCACCTCTGCTTCTGATGTACATTCTAATTCATTTTAGGAAAATTTCCATAACTTTTTCCCATAATTGCGTACTGATTTCGCCAATTACATCGGATATACTGTTTGAGCACTTTAATCGTTGCTGAAGCATTAGTGTACACCTTATCCATCACGTAAACCCAGAGAAAGAAATGCGGCGGTCTCAAATCACATGATCTAAGCGGCTAATTGAAGTGTCTGTGACGCAAAATGACACGAACGGGAAACTGCATACAATAGGGGTACAGTTTCACTGACTATATGGCACATAGCCCTATCCGGCTGAAAATAAACGTCTTTCGGATTCAGTTCTTCAATCGTAGGTCCAAAAAGTCAGTGAGCATATTTCGGTACCGCAATCCATTGACTGTAGCGGTATAACCGGCTTAATTTTCGAAGAAATACCGCCCTATACAGGGTCGGAAAGTCCACATGGTTCATCGGCCGTTACGTGAGAGCGATAAAGAAAGTAATAGAAATCCGTGCGATAGAGAAAGATGGCTATAATAAGATCCACTTCTTATTTGTGGAAGGGCGAAATGGGCGGTGACTATTAGACGCCTTCATTATAGCCATC